GATTACGTAGCCGTCTAAAGATAAATCGGGTTTAACAAAAATTTTTCCGTCAGTGGTCCATACTTTCCATCCTTGACGTAACCGTTTTTTGTCGCGAACTTTCTTGAATAAAGCAGCCCTTTGGGCAGTTAGATTTTCATTTATGTAAATTTTTTCAGCACCTGAAATATGTCGGACGTTTAACTTGCGTAATTTCCGACGACCATAATACATTTCTTTCTTACTGTAATAGTTATTAAAGCGAACGATTATTGGATTTGGTTGCCGATTACCTTTTTTAAAGCGGTGGACAATGTTGATGTCTTCAGGTCCTACGTCTGCATCAATGCTTCGTGCCAATAGTAGAAGTATTTACTCTCTGAATAGCTCCGTTGACTCGCTTCACAACTGGGATTTTTGTTTTTGTATGATTTAGTATTTTCCTTTAATTCCAGTCGGGTTACTTTCCCGCTGGATTGGTGTTTTTTTTTTTCATTATATTTTCTCTGTACTTATTTAAGAGGGAAAGAATTAATTAGTTAATTATTATTAAAGGCTGTCTTACATCCCACTTGCTGTCTGTCTTGTGTTGCATGTTTGAATGTTCTTGTAGCCCCTGTAGAAGACTTTGTTTCCCAAACCGAAATATAAAAGAGGGATACAGAACTATACCGGCTTTCACTTTTCTTCACTTCACCTTTTGCGTCTTTCTCTGACAAATATTTTATGGGAGACTCATGAACACTTTATGTCGCTAGAGAACTATAAACTATTTGTAAAGATTAAACTCTCAACATTCCAAACTCGGATTCAGCCTAATTTTGAACAATGCAATATTATTATGCACGTTTCAATTTGACAGGCCGATTATTGTTCTCATTAGGACGATTTAATTTCTGCGCTATGGTTAGTCCTCCCGATTTTCTTTTAATTTGAATCGCATGGATGAAGCTGGGCCCGATTTGTAAAATCTGTTGCGCTGCAATCGATGAACCTCATAACGAATGGCTTTTAACATACATTCGTTTGCAACAAGGAAGATTAGGAAAACATATTTTTTTCAATTGCATGTGCAATTAATTTTTTTCGTAACATATTTCTGACGCCAAAGGAAATACCGCCAGTCAAAAAATCTCCCAGCCTTAGCCACCCACGTGGGCTCGTTGGACTGCGCGAGAACTGAGAACGGCGACATTACAGATTCCCAGGATTCCCAGGAGTATCGAATTGATGTTGCACGAGGCTGAGGAGCATAACAGCTGTTCTTAGAATTTCTCTCCGAACAACACCTTCCTGCAGTTTGGACGAATTGTGGTAAGCCAATATGTTATTTATGATTTGTTTCGTCGTTTTTTTTCACGGTTGGCAGAGATTTGTACATAGTACAAGCTAATTACATAGTACAAGCTTATTACAAGGGACGTGACGATCCGGATCGTCGGTCGACAGACACCATTGTGCGCGCTTTCTCTTTGGAGTTCAATACTAACCTTTTAATACTACAAATTAAATCTGGTATGAAATCAAGAAAATACTGCAAAATCTGTATGAGGTTACCATAATTTATAGAATGCGATTGCTTTGTAATCAACGGGGCTTGTGATCTGGCAGCCCTGTCGGACAGGTTTTTCAAAATACTCCGTGTCCGGCAGTCAAAATTTGTTGTTGTTGTTGTTTTTAATTTCAGTTAATTATGTCAAGTCCTTGTTTATATGGCTGAATACTTCACTATTTTCCCCGCGATGCGAATTTCAGCAGGCACCCAAACCAAGTGACCGGCAGTCAAAAGTGTTTTGTAGTTTAGGCTAAATAGCACTCCGGTTAGCTATAAAAGCACCCCGGTTAGCCTGAATAACGTTCCCGGTTAGCCTGTTTACGGTTGGCGGTCAATTATGTTAAGGGTAACACTATATGTACTTAAGGAATTCCGAGTGTTGCCGGCTGGTTGCCGTAGTGCAGTAGTCATGAGTATTGCTTGCCATGCTGGCGACCCGGGTTCGATTCCTCTTGGGGTCGCCTGTCACAGAGTTCTTTTTATGTTGTTTTACCGGACACGGAGTCTTTAAAAAAACCTGTCCGGCTGCTGGACATGTAGCCACAGCGTTTGTTTTTGTTTTGATTCTGTCGCCAAAGAAAGCGTCAGAAAAATTGAAAGGATTTGGGTTATTTGGCAGCCTCAAATTTAACTTACTGGTAAAAACAGGTACAATATTTTTGCTTTGGATGCCAGTTGGCTAACAACTACTGTATTTTGTAATGTGTAGTACCGTGCACCATGTAAAATAATGAAAACCCAGTTTACTCTTTTAGCCACACCATGTAGTTACATATATATGCATATATTTAGTTTGAAAGATTGAAAAATACAAACATCGGCATAACATGATTAAACTTAAGCTGCATGAAGACCTGAAGTCCGCGTGTGTTTTGAACTTACCCTCTGATACTTAAAGTGCCACTGAAACAATTTTTTGTATCCTCTTTTGTTTGCCCAATTTTGCTTGTGGTTTCAAACATGCTTATGATCATGGTGAACTTTATTTTTGTCAAATCTTTACGGAAAGTTGTGTTTTTGAAGCAAAAGTGTGTTCTTACTCTGGAACCAACCCGTTGATGCCTGTGCCGACCACAACCGGCCGCGATGAGCATCACCTCTGACCAAAGCTGGCATCACTTATACTGGAAAGATCTTTCTAATGATACCCAGATCAGAGTGATGGGGTTAATTGAGCCTTAAATATGTATGGAAGTGCTTAAAAATTAGAGAGAAAAACTCTGAGCAAAATTTCCCTCAACTACACTTGGCTATTACACGGTAAGAATTTCCCGTCTCAATGATGCTCTCCTGGGAATTCTTGAATGGGAAGCAAGCCCAGTAGATGGCCAACACCTGCAGCAAAAATATTAGAAATGGGGAAAAAGGAAAGGCAAGGAAAAAAAATAAAAAAGCGAAAAGCCTAAAGACACATCAAAATATTGATTTGTGTGCATGCCTGAGCAAAAATGTCATAAAACACGATGCATCCTTAAGGGACAACCAGTGGATCTTAATTACAACATTGACATCATTGCAAAATATGTCACCTGGATACGAGAAGTAGTTGATTTCTTGATTGTTCTCTTGTTTTAATTGCTATAATTCTGGACCGTACAAATCAAGACAAACATGGCCTGTTTTGTCGGGGTACAAGATGATGTGCTTTTGTTATATAACTGGGACAATTATGACTTTGAATCATTTTGGGATAGTAACGTGAGAACAGCTTTATTTCATTGGCTGTATTTTGATTACATTTGTTGATTAGTTCCAGTGTCAGCAAATAGTTGAGTCTGTATCCAGCCAAGGTTGAAATTGTTTCGAATCAACAAAAAAGTACTCTGAAGGTAATATCTGTAAGAGTAAGCCTGAACCAAGGAATGGCAATGTAAAGGCTGTCTTTTTATTGCTTGGCCAAAATAGTCAAATCAGTTGCCAGTGGCACGGAGTTTGTTTACGATAAACCAGCACTTGATTGTAAATGTTAACTAATCTTTATGCTTCCAGCTTAGAATACTGTATGGAAAAAAATGATACTTTTACAAATAAGCTTTTATCCTTAAATATTACCAATTAAAAGTGGAAATGAGGTGTTTAGCATGAATTTTGAAGGCAAATATAAATGTGTTAGGTCTATTAACCCATTGACGCCTGAATGAAATTACCCGCGACCCACCCCTAATTCCCTGGCATTTTTTTGAAATATTTCAGAGCGAGCGAAAGCACAAAAATAAACCATATGCGCAGTAACCACAGACACAAGATCAGGTTTCAAGACATCGTTTATTTAAAGTTGAATAAATGAAGGGTCAAAATATTAAAAAAATATTAAAAAAATATTAGCAAAAAGAACTCCACATGATGTGTAAAACTGATGAGAAAACAAGAAATTATATTATTTCTTTACCGTACGACAAAATGTCCTACAGAAGCTGAGAAAATTGACTATGCGAAAATGAGTTAATCATTGACTTTGGAGGACAAAAACAAAACCAAAATACAACAGAATTTCATTCTTGTACTATAACCGCTAACATTTGAGAAAACAATGAAAAATAAAAGCGAAGAACTCATGTAAAATTCAATCTGAAAACAAGAAATTGAGCAATTTCTTTGCCGCGCGACGAAAATATTACAACGCTGTGAAAGAAAGATGAAAGTCATAAATCAAAAAGACGACAAAAGCAAGTGAATTATTTTGAGATCAGTCGTATTTCAACTGTGTTAAATTAGTGACTATTTAGTTCTTTTCTCAGCGGTTCTGTAGTAGCTGAATAATAGCCCATTCACACCAATTAAACAAGTTTGCCTAAACATGGTTAGATAAAACAGTGTTTAGTTAAACATGTTTTGTTGTAGAGGTCATTCACACCAAGGAAGCCAATTTAACTCCATGCATTCTTAGCGCACTTCAATTCGCCTCGCCTGCATGACCGAAATATCTTTCCTTACCGGGGTCCTGTGGAGCAAATAATAGGGTCCCACAAATAGCCTATCACGCACACATTGACAACAAAAACATGGTGCAAAATGGTTTAAAAAACTGACAAAATATTACTGTCGTTGTCGCTGAACTGAACGAGAGAACATAATAGAGCACAAATAAGAAAGAACTGAGCTGTTATTGCGAGGATTCAGTACACGAGGAGGAAAAGACGCACCTGTTTTTTGTTTTTTGTAAATCTGATCGCTTATCTACAACAGTTGCCGGTCAGAGAAATTTGGGTGAAACCAAAGGCAAATTTATTTTGGCGTATGGCTGAAGACCAATGGACCGACAACAACTGGGTCGGACACTTACGAATGTCCCAGGTAACCTTCCAAAAACTTGCGAAGAACTGGCTCCTTTCAATGAGAGATGAGATACAAACTATTGCAAAGCGAGTGAGTTGCAATAACATTGTACAGACTTGCAGACACGGCCAGTTATAGGATGGTATCAAACCTCGTTGGCGTTGGCAAATCAACAGTTTGCCAAATCGTGCTTGAGGTATGTACCTGCATTGTTGAAGTTTTGTTCAAGAGACTTGTTCACTCGCCCGGTACTTGACAAGACATTGAAACGGAAATTGCGGCTTTCTTCATGCGTGTGGGCTTTCCCCAGGTAGTAGGTGCTGTCGATGGATGTCACCTCGCAATTTTGGCACCAAATGAAAATCCTGAAGATTATGTAAATCGAAAAGGATTTTATTCAATAATCCTCCAGGGTTTGGTGGACAGCAATTATCTTTTTAGGGACATGTATGTTGGCTGGCCTGGGAAGGTTCATGATTCTCGTGTTTTTAAGAATTCACCTCTCTATGATGCTTGCTGTGCACGAACATTTCTTCCCATGGGGTTAAGCAAAGTTATCGCCAACGTTGTGGTACCACCCGTCATTCTTGGTGATTCAGCCTATGGACTCACCAACTGGTTAATGAGGCCTTTTACTGACCGGGGAAACCTTTCCAATGAGGAGGTGGCCTTTAACTCAGCACACAGCAAAACAAGGGTAGTGGTGGAAAATGCATTTGGAAGACTTAAGGGACAATTTAGACCCCTTGGAAAAAGGCTAGATCAGTCTGTTGAAAATGCAACCATAACAGTCACAGCTTGTTGTGTTCTTCATAACTATTGTGAGGTTATGAAAGAAGAATTTGATGAAGGATGGCTAGAGGAGGTGCAATTACACCTGAACATCCAACCATGTGACAGAGAAGAAAAACAAGACAGGGAGG